TTTTTGCTTTAATTCTCAGCAGTTGACGATTGTGTCCATGTAGAGAAAATGTGTGCTTTCTGTCACTACAGGACACCAAAGAACGCAAGCACACACTGCTGTTCTCAAGGTGATGAAAAAGGGAAGTTTATTTTCTGACTCTAACATTTATAGTTTTCTAAAAGTGACAGCAGATTAAAAAGTCACAGTGACACTTCTCTAATGACACGAGTCAAACTGTCTATCAACTCTCTCCTCTTCCATAAAAGAAAGCAAAACAATGAGTTATTTGCAGAAAGTGTGTAAGAAAGTTCACTACAAGAATGTCAACATTAGAAAGCTTAGAAAATCTTAAAAAACCAGGGTGACAGTTTTCTCCCAGCACTCTTGAGCAGTAAGTAAAATACTCCGAACTCTGTTGCGGTCCTGGAGCATCACCCTGTGGTCGGAGCGCTGCAGTGCATCAGGCTCCGGGTTGTGCTGCTCGATGTAAGTGAATCCTGTAAACCCCGTGTCCTGGGTTCGCTATATGATGCTTTTATCCCCCAATAGTCTCGTTTTGTTTATGCTGAATAATAAGTTTTGCACCTTGTTGCAGAGAGTGAAGGGAGGAGAGAAGAAGCACAGGTTTTTTCAGATGCTGCTCTCACTCCTCCACATTCCTTCTCCTGGACTGTGTTGTCTGCAGATACACAGACAGCAAGACAGAGCTCTTTTTTGGTTTTAGTTAGTTTAGGTAGCTGAGGCAAAGAATTCCCGGGACTGTGGATTTTTTCCTTTTCTTTAGACCTCTTAAAACCTGCTCTGCACTGGCAGCTGCACCTGTGGCTGAGCCTGGCCTGTGACATTTCCAGCACTGAGGGACTGATCAGAAACTGAGAGAGCTCAGCTGCAACCCAAGGATGGGGTTTTCTCAGTTGGTCATCTCTTTTAGAGCAGCAAGAAGTTTTATTGTTTAATATTGTTTAAGTTTTATTGTTTAATAATCAGGTTTTTTTCCACTTTTCTCTAAAGAGGTATTTTCTCCCAGACCACTTAGAAGGAGAAGCCGATTAAATTTGCTTTCCTACCGGAGCCCCTTTAAAGATTCTCTCCCAGATTTGCTCTAAACCAGAACAAATACACTCCATTTGATTTAATTTCTCGTGCATTAAACACGGAGGTGGCCCTTTCTTGTTACCAATTTCTGTCATTCCCATACTGTAATTAGGTGAGTTTGGTGGATTTGGCAGCAATTGTCCTTTGATATGCTCCCCAAAGAATTGTTCCTGTCTGTGCATGCTGGTGTGTACATCTGGCCTTGCTGATGCCCTGGACGCTGCTACTTAGAGATTTGCTTCTAATTATGTTGGGAGAAAATAATGATTTTACAACAGATTCACAAGATCTGTGGTGAGAATTTTTAATGTTCTTTCATTATAGACCTCTCCAGGGAAGTTCAAACAGTAATACATGGACATTCCTGCTGAAGGCAGTGTTTCAGACTTATTTCTGAGTAACTGAACTGAGCTTTCTCAGCAGGCAGTTTTGGAAGATACTCCAGACTGTGTATGCTTACAGAATTTTAAAATCACAGTTGAGGTGATTGTGGTTTGGGGAGGCTCAGGCTTACCTCAGCAGTTACTTCATAGTCTGTCTGAATTGATGCACATATTCACTGTTTATGTAGAAACACAGAATAACTGAGGTAATGTGAGTTAATTTAAATGTTTAACAGCGCAGAGGAATGCTAACAAAACTGAAAATGTTATAACCTCACAGTGTGACTGTAATTTCTATTATTGATCATAGTTTTGTTAAATCATTTACTGTTGAACAGGCCTTGGTCATGCCTAAGGCTGCCTGCTGCAGAGTAATGCCCAGAACTCAGTGCAGTTCTCCATGAGGAGAGTAAAAAGCCAAATGTTCCTGTATTCCAGATCTCTTTGGAAAACACAGTTTCATAATTAACTAAATTGTTGCTTTTAAACTGATTGGGATTGTTTCTGACAGGAAGATTGAGCCATGCTACAGCAGGATTTGTGAGAGGAAAAGAATCCCCTCGCTGCTGAGTACAGGGTTGTGGATTGTATTTGGTTTTTTAATGCCTGAACTGCTAAATTCATTACTCTGTAAAATTAGTCAAGATCCAAGACTGAGTTTTGGGAGAAACATTGTACAGTGTAATAGCATAATTATGCCTCTTATCTTTTAGATTAGAATATCCATATATTCCAATTACCCTAATTTACATTCAGAACAAATGCACTTCCTCCTCTGTGCCCAAATTCCTCAGCAATGCTGTCTCTCTTGATTACAGAACTTTTCCAAGGGATGCAATACTAATGAAAATTGTATTCTAAATCAAATATTCATTTGCAAGCAATTTTTCCATTCCAGAACAATCCAGGAATTACATTTAGAATCATTAACTTAATTTAATCCATATGAGCACAATAATTCAGTATTTAGATCTCAAACTGTTAAACAGCTTTTGCTGCCATTGCTGTTTTGCACTTTGTGGAGTGAGTTCCTGCAGGAAGGGAGGATGAGCTTCCCTGATAACTGGTGTTATCTACAGGGCAAGAAAAGTTAGGTGGCTCAGCTGTGGGTGGCAGTGGGGTTCTGACAGCTGCTTACCATATAACTGATCAAAAAATCCCATCTTTGAGGGGTAAATTGGGAATTTTGAGAAAACACTATGAAGGTGGCTAGGGAGAAAGAAATTTAACTCATGAAGATTATAAAAATTATCTCATCCCCTTTGATAATGGTACTGGTTATAGTGGAGCAGGACATCATCAGTACTAATCTTACACATATTATGCTGCAGATGAGGGGTTGAGGAAATGTCCCAGCAGCTGTTAGAACTCCTTCAACTGTACAAAGCTGCCATCTGCCTACAGCATGCTTTATTAATTTCTCTTTAATTGTGGATGCAATAGCCTGGTCAGAGAGAGAGAAAGCTAGATGAGCTTTCCATGAATCAGTCTGGGAAACTTTAGGGAGCTGGAGAGCAAGAATTCTCATCAATCTGCACCTGGTATTTGTAACAAGTTGTTTACTCCCAAGGGATGTCATCTTAATTAGCCAATGGTGACAGAATTTTAATTAAAGGACCAATTAGGTCCACATGTAGCAAACTAGAGTATAAAAAGGAATGGGTTAGATATAGCCTTCTGTGAATGCATGGATTTATCTGTGTCACTTTCTGACTCAATGGTGACATGAAATAGTGCTGTGAAGTCTTGTTTGGCTGCAGCTTCTGACTGAGCACAGGTCCAGCACCAACATCCCTCCATCCACCCCTCAGGGGCACACCAGGTCTGCAGCACCAGCTCCTGGCTGTACGTGGGGGCATTTCCCTGTCCCTGTGCCCCTGCACATCACTGCTGCTTTAGGAGCTCCAGCTTTCAGCTGCAAAAATGGTGTTTTTCTGAAGAACAAGCTTTCACATTCAGAGTTTCCATCCAACAACAGGTTCTTGGAGCTAATTCGCACTGTTAGAAAAACTTTTTTTTCTATATTGACCCCCCCCTACAATAAACTTCCTCTTTCTTGTATCTTGGATTCTTTCATTAGCATTTCACTTTCTGAAGTAATGCAACTGAAAATGAAGTATCTCTAGAAAAAATTAAGACTCCAAACGCTTCAGTATTTTCAGTGACAGTTTATTTACTCACTTATAAACATTAAAGTATGCAAAGCAGTTAAAATGATACTGTAACTTGAAAAGGAGATTTTGTTTGAAGGTGAAGGAAGGCTAAAATTATTAGCAAAGACTACTCAGTGCCGCCAACCAGTCTCTTAAACCTAAACCTGAGCAATTGAAACAGAATTAAAACCATGCTAATTACAAAAACTTACCATGAGGTTCCTTGCAGGGGGTCACAGTTAGTCTTTGGAGGTCCAAGAATACCATTTTAAAGTGTTACTCAGCAGAAGTAGCTGGTAATAGTGCAAGTGCTAAAATGCAAAATTCACAGATGGGACAGTTTGGAGATTATTCTGATTAAGGTGCAGAAAAAAAATGTAAGCAACTTTTTCAGTGGAATATGAACAAATGTGTGGGATTCCTTTCTCAGCCTGGGTGTTTAGAAACCCTCTTTAAACTAAGCACATTAAGGCACAACTGATTTTTTTAATTCTGCAGGTGGAAAGCTCAGTCATGCAGTTTTGTTTGCTGTTTAGATGCTTTGCTATTCACAAGCCTCAGTGGGATACTGAAGATTCCCTTGAAAATCACATAGGTTAAAAACTGTGTAATTATCCATACTCAGACTATTCACAGCTACAGCACAGCATTATGGGGTATAGAAAAATACAGATCCAAGCTTCAGTGGGCTGCAACCCCAAGTACACAACACAATTCCTCAAGCTCATACCACAAGTGGAAATAACCTTCCATGAGTTTCTGCTCCAATGCCTTGCACTTTGTTAAGAAGCTGCCTCCTATGTGACACCTCTGCACCTGTCATAACTCACTTCAAACTTCAGCAGTCTGTGTATATTTACAGAGCTTTACTCATCTGGAAACTCTTTCCTGTGACTAGTTTTAACAGGAGTTAACAGCACTCTTCTGGGCTGGAAGTGTGGCAGAAGCCTGTTTCCTATGAGTGGGCTGATCTAAAAACAAGTTAAAAGCATCCATCCCCAAAGAAGATGTGGACAGAAATCCACCATGACAGCAACTCTGTTTCCCCCAACCCACTTCTGATAAGGAACTTCCACTGCTGAAAGAACAAGTAAGGTTCCTTGGCACAGATGAAATCTGGAGGGAGCTGCTTACCAGTCTAGGTGCGGGCACCCCAAGGTGTGGGACCTGGATTTTAGATCTATGTCACTGCACAGTGCAAGGCTACAGTGGCTTAGAGGAGAGTGTCAGGTATCGATACGTGCTGAGCGGTGGCTCCTTTAGAACCTGCTTATCTGAAACAAACCGAGTGGCTGCAAAAAGCTTTACAGAAGTTCATCGCAAAAGGGTAAAATTAATTAACTGCTATGAATTCTTTGCATTCAGGGCTGCAAAACAAAGACACATATTACTTAAATCAGTTTTATTTAAGAATTTCCTACAGTGACAAATCTTATAAAAAGCATCCAAACACAAAACTGCAGCAAACAGCATTCTTTTGGATATCTTACAGACAATGGAACTTCCACCCTGGAGAGGCACACTGAGCTCTAGTGATGTCTGCTAAAAGAGCTACTGCAAAGCACACCACAAGCTCAATGTTCTCATCACAAACCCCCATCATCTTCAGGTCACATTACCACACTTACAGATCATTAACAGAAAAAAAACACACACCATACAGCATTCACAGCAGTTGACATAAGGGAAAAGAAATACAAATATTCCATTTCACGTAACACATTCAACTAATTGATTAACTAGGTAGAGAACCCACTTAAAAGTCTTCCACATGTGGATGTCCTTTGAATGCAATAAACACTCGTACGTTATCTGCTATCATTGCTCTCCGCACACTCTCTCACCAAAGCCACAGGATCGAGAGACATCTCGCCAAGTCAAATAAAATCCCATTAATGCACCACCAGGTCTCTGCATGCGCTCGCTCCTTTATCTCGCACATACCAGCCCTCTCATGCCTCGGCACCACCACCAATCCCACACATGGTTTCAAAAGTTCAAACAGCCTTCTGGTTCCATCTCACAGCCTTGCGTTCACAGCGTTGATACGACTCCATGAAATAAAGAGTAGCGGATAAAAATGGAACACCCACCGTCTAAGACGCAGCATGTGCGGTGTGATGAAGAATTCTTGGATGAGAAAGCATGTAGACAGAAGTATTCCTAAGGCAGAATATTTACAGCACTGCTTTCAATGAAGTGCTTCTTCCATACACATTTGAAATGAGATGAACTGCGGAGATTAAATGAAGCCTTCATATCGTACTTTAGTATGGAGGGGAGACAGCGTTAAAAAAAACAAACGAACACAAACAAAAATGACACTGTGTTGTCCAACGGGGCGCTTGGAGAGTCTTATGGTGGGATCAAATTAAAAACAAGAGGGAGAGAATGCTGTTTCTGACCAATGGTTCCATTTTTGAACATGCAAAGAATTCATGTAACCAGGAAACAAAGGGTAAAGTATTACAGGAGAAACCTTTCCTATAGACTGTAGTGTTAGTTCACCTATCGGGCAAACAGCAGTCCACTTCCAAACATTCAGAATTCCAACTAGATATGTAACAAAACTTAGAAAATTCCTTTTACCTTTCTTTTCTTTTTCTTTTTTTTCTTTTTTTTTTTTAGAAAAGAAAAATGTCAAAAATACTGCTGAATATACTGCACACTGAACAAATTCATTTGGAAAATTTTAGCATATACGTAATTTACAGTATACTTACCATGAGTTAAAAAATTTGATTTCCCACCATAGAGTCAGTATCAGAGCCCACTGCGTCTACATTCCCCAGCCTGATGACTTGGAATCCATGCTTGAACCAAAGCCCCCGTTGAACCCGCTGCTGGAGCCGGGGTTGGAGGCTGAGCCCCAGCCTATCGCTGCCCCCGAGTTGGACCCTCCATATGAGTTGTTGCCTGAACTAAAGCCCTGGTTCTGCTCCCGCTGCATGTTGCCCTGAGGCTGGTTGTTCCCCGAGGGCCCTGACTGGTTCTGCTGGCTGGCCAGCATGCCCATCATCCCCCAGCTGCTCTGCAGGGCGGCCTGCGCTGCTGCCATCATGGCAGGGTTGATGCTAAAGGCTCCGAAGTTCATACCCCCGCCCATGTTGCTGCCCTGGTTGTTGCCCAGTCCTCCCCCACCTCCTCTACTGTTACCAAATCCCCCCTGATTCCCAAAGCCTCCCGGGTTACCACCAAATCTTCCACCTCTCTCTAACTGTCTACTGCTATTGTGTTTAGGTTCAGCATTGGATATATGTACGCTGATTCCTTTAATGATCAAGTCCTCTCCACAAAGAGACTGGGCAACCTATAAGAAATAAGGGATTGATTAAATGTATGTTAGATGTCCTTTTTTTCAAAAATGTTAGCAGTACAAGACAAAACACAAAACACCCCCTACAATTCTGACCAGATATTTATCCTGCAAAGAAAGCATATGCATGTACTTAATTCAATTTGAAGTGATTTAGCTTTGCATTCGTCACTACACTAACTGTAGTACAAAGTCCTGTCTGCACAGCTGCATCTGAAAGTGTACTCTCAGTCCCTTCAATAAATCAGACAGTGGACAAGTAAGCATTTCATGTGCAGTTCCAGAAATGATACTTTATCACGCTACTAAAATATAGTCTGTGAAGTTAAAATATTTTAAGACTTACCTGATCATCTGCAAACGTAACAAAAGCAAAAGCTCGGAAGGGTTTAGGAATGAAGACATCTACCACCTCCCCATACTGGGCAAAGAACTGTCGGAGTTCATCTGCCGTCATGTCCTCGGTGCAGCGCCCAACAAACACCTTCCTGCTGCGCAAGGGCTCGTCGGGACTTTGCTGGAGAGAATTGAAGGCAAAAACCATCACAACTACAGTCCTCGAGAACCGAGTCACAGGATGGGAAATGACACTCATAATCTATCCTGCTCTGAGGGCTGCTGATGGAACAAACTTTGAGATTGTAAATTTAAGACTTAAGTAAAGTTTAAAAATGCTATTCCAAGAACATGGCTGCACCTTGGTAAAGGTGGGGGGGAAGAACCACAAGAAAATGAGCATGGGAGCAACACAGGGATGGTGACAAGGCCACTGCAGAACACTTTTTTGTGATAATTGCATACAGAGACAAGAATAGAAGCTATAGGTTCAGTTTGGAACTCAAAGACTTGTTCTGCTCTTCCCCAAATTAGCGATTCCATCTGCTTTATTCTGCATTTATTCATGCAACAGGCAAGTCAGGCAGGTATTGCTGGACATCAAACACAGATTTCTATCTGTGTTTCATTCCCTCACATAATGAGTGATTTTCCCAACATTTCAAATTACTTCCAGCTCACCCACCTGCTCCCTGCTTTCCTTCCTTGCTCTCGCTTGTTCTGCTCATTCACAGTAAAGCCACATCCGAGAGCGGACAGTTAATCTGTGCACAGCTGATGAAGAAGTGCACTTGGAGTGTTTGGTACAAATAAAAGCAGTGGTAAATCGCAAAGTACCTTAGAGTTGGGAAGTTTACAGTCACACCATCTTCCATCGATCATGTGACGCTGAGACATTACTTTCACTTGGGTTTCGTAATCCGTGAACCGAACAAACCCAAAACCTTTTGAGTGGCCTGTTTTAATGTCCTTCTTAACCTAGGTGGGAAAAAAAACAAAAACCAGAAGTAACCACTAGTATGAAGCATGTTGTTACTGAATAAATTTGGTAAAAATCTGTTTGAGAGTTCACCTGTCTTCCAACCATTCTTATCACAGCAACCTCTAATTCCTTAACATCTTCTCCCAAAATTAACAGGCTCATGGAAAAAAAAAAGACATCCTTAGGAAGAGACACAGGTTCTGATCTTGTCCGAATTTATAAAGCTTCTTTGTTTCTACTGCTTTCTCAGGAGCCTGATATCTACCCAATGTCCCTCCTTACTTGAGCTGCAAATGGATTTTACCTGCACCATCAGAACTTCTCCAAAGGTACTGAAATATTCCTTTAAGTCTTGTTCAGTGGTTTTCCAGGGAAGACCCAAGACTATTAAATCTGAAGTCTTCTGCACTGCTCGTTTCACTTTCACAGCTGATGATGCATCGGTTTCATCCATTTTTCTCTTATTATCTGAATATAAAAAAGTACATTAGACATCCTCAGAGCTGGAAATTGACCCAGTGACTATGAACTGCATGGGGTTAAATCAGAAACCGTGATGAGGAAGAGTACATCAGCTGTTGAGAGCTAAATGGAACACATATCTGACTGTTCTGAACCAAAGCTAGTCCACAATTGAATGCTCCTCCAAAAAGCAAATTGACCCAGTTAGTACTGCCTTAGTTTACTTGAGAATTATCCAGCAACATTCACATAAGGCTGGGAAAAATTTCATGTTTTCCCCACTATAAGGTGGGGAAAACGTTTAACAAGACTACTTCACTAGCAATTTATTTCCTTCCCCTCTTTTTTTGGGGGGTGGAGCAGGGTGGTCAGGTTTCTCCTTTCCTGAACACTTCTGAATGGTACCTCTGACTAAACCATGCCTTGAGGAAAAGTGTCTGTGAGTACAGAGATTACAGTACACTTCAAATAGTACCCTTTGAAGGCCTATACAAGACTAGCCTTCAAGGATAATGCAAGACTTTGTCTTTAAAGTACTTGTTTAGGTAGTTAAAAAAATAAAAAACTCAATGGGATCAGACCTACTCGGCAGAACAGACACCTGAAAAAATCACTGGGAACTGGAAAATTAAAGAGTAACATGTTGCTTAAAGACAACATGGGACCTTAAAGAAAGCAGCCCAGAAGGGAGAACCGAAGCCACGAGGACAAACCTTTGGGATAATTCACGACGTAGACGAGGTTTCCCCAGCCGGCCTCGGGGGCGTGCAGGATGCCCTCGACCAGCCGGACTCCTCGCATGCACTGCGACACCGGGTTTCTGTAGCGCAGCCCGCACGCCCCGGGGAACTGCGCCGTCACCGTGGACAACAGCACCGTGCCGTCGTCCTCCGACGGGATTTCGATGGGCTCATCGTTCTCGTCCTCCGTCACCCGGATATACTCCGACATCTTCGCTGGAAGTTACTGAAGTACAAAAGGGAAAGAGAAGGCGTAAGCGATCACCCTATCCCCCCGACTTGGCTTTCATTTTCTTCGGCCTGAGGCACGAATCTCTCTTTATCACACAACAGGGGGCCCCGAAACGCGCTATTCATTAACACTAAAGCCTCCGGGCCTGCTGTAAACCTCGGCCTGTGCTGGAGCTATGGAGGTACAAACAGCGACTTAGTCCCCGAGCACGACGGAAATTCCCAGGGGCGCCATGGGCTAGCTCCGCG